TCTGCCTCTGCCTCCCGAGTGCTGGGATTAAAGGCGTGCACCACCAACACCCGGCTTCCATGTATTTTTAATGTAAAGGCAGGTATGTAAAAAAAAATTCATGCATGCCTGGTATGAATAAGTTTGAGTGAAAACAAAGAAACAAAACAAAGAAGACAGAACCAATTCTGCAGGGCTCAGCGCGAAGTGTCCCCCACCACCACCCCACCCACCCCATTGCAAGCCCAACTCAGGCCTGGTGGTGGCAAGTAAAAAGATTGTCTTACCTTGAGGGAGTCAAAGCAGGCAATTACTCTTCCATTTTCAACCTGGCAACTTTTGGGGGGGTGAGCGAATTTGCATTCTTCATCAGAGCGAGAGCACGTTCCTCTCTGGTACTGCCTGCAGACTTCCAGTGTCAGCCACTTTGTGTCTCTCACTGGGGCAACGTTCAAGGCCATGATGAGAGCTACTCTGGGTTCTGTCCCTTTCTGTTAAGTGATGGAATCAACCCAAGGCTCAATGATCCCAAAACTACTCCTGTAAAAACTCCTGCATGTAAGTCTGAAGGCAATGAATTCCTTACAGAAGTCTAATCCAGGAAAGAGGGATGAGAGGACGTATTAGTAGGTGGTCATTCACAGATCAGTAGGCACCACTGGACGACATCAAGCCTCAAGCAAAGTGTGCTCACTGTCATCTCTGGCTCCCAGGGTTCTAGTCTCTGGACTGTTTTGCAGACACACCTCTCCTTAATAAAGTGACTTCAATAGGATGGCACTCTTTGGGAAAATATTGGTTCTGATGCTCACAGCTCTGGAGGATGCTGGGAAACACGATTGCCTCTCCGATCTTTGTATCTGAGCAGGATGGCGTTTTCCTTCCCTTCGTCCTTTTTAAATTCTGAAATTAAAGGATTAGCAAAGTCAGATCACTGCATCTAGTCATAGGGTCAGGGTAGAGTGTGTTTGACAAAAAAACAAATAAACAAGCAATCAAACAAAAAAACCCACAAGAGGTAAATACAAAAAGAGCTCCCTAAGGGCTGCTGCCAGCAAAAATGATGTCACAAGATTCCTTTCAGTTGTGAACCTGCAAAATATAAGACATCAACTTGCATCCAAACTCAGATCTACTATCTACTAAGCTCAGATCTAGAATGTGTGAAAGTATAGGTTAGACATCCCAGCTTTTGTGAGAACCACGAAGAAAGTGGAGAGAGGAAGGCGCAACTGAAACAACACAAGTGTACATCGGAATGATCCAGGCAGCAGTCCAAGAGTTAGGAGAGACTCAAACAGATGAGTGTGGCAGACACAATAATTAGGCCCTTTGAAACAATTCCATCTAATGTGCTTAATCACCAAACAGTGTATTAGAATTGTGGCTCCCAATTAATTTCACATTTAGGTCATTGATTTTATTGTTGGAAGTGCTATAAACAACTGTAGGGATATGTCTCTCCTACAAAGTGGAGATAATATTATTTTGGATAAAGCATGGGTTCCCTATTCCATGAATTCTTTTGAGTTTACAGAGATTTGATGCTGGGGTAGGTAAAGGGCACGCCCGGATATTTGCTTTCCGGATATTTCGGCTACTTGCTTGGCGCCTGTCTTCCCTGCAACTTGTTGCTAGGCAAGGATGGTGGTCTACAGTTATCTGTTTCCCAGGTGGCTTGGTTCATGGTATCTATTAGGATCTCAGGGAGTGCTTGTTGATCAATTGAACTCAGAACAAGATGAATGCAAGTTAACTTGAATCAATTTCTGCTTACTTTTTAATCGAGACACAACCTTATCGTATCCTCTCCAATGTGGAGCCCTGGCTCAGCCGGTAAAGGCATTTCCTGCTAAGCCTCGAAACCGGAGCATGGAGAGAGCTAACTTCTATGGGATGTTCAACCCCCACATAACTTCACACACAAAGTCTAAAAATTCTGTAAATTGAAAAAAAAATTCTCTTGTATTGAGACTGTGAAGATTAAAAACCATGCCTACCACAATACTGTAAAGTTCAGAGGACCCAGGTCAGCAGAGTTCATTTGCTCTAATTTTTTAAGGATTATGAAATCAATAACATTAAACTTGAATGTTAACAAGATAAACATGAATTTAAAAAAAAAACAAAACTATAGTCTGTAAATTACCACTTGCAGAGATGGTATGTAACATAAGCCACTGTATACATCAGCTCGGTCTTGATACCCTTCTAAAAAGCTATAGCTAAGGGCATGTCATGAAGATTAGAAATAGATTAGTCAAGCTAAACCCTTAGGGAGGGCGTAAGAGACTGTCATAAAGTTAGAATGGGGTTTAAAGTTCCCACGGACAAATGAGGTCTTGGTCAGTTTTATAACAACGTCACAGTGCATTTCTCACGTGTTTTGCATGATGCTGGTGTGAACTGGCCCAGTTCACTGTTTGTCATGTGTCATGAACACTGGATGGTGGGGAGCGGGTCTGTCAATCATTTGTATTACCATACCTCATGTCACTTTGGAATACAGCCTTTTTACTAACAAAAAGTATTTACTGTACACAGTACGCCATGTTTCAAAACTGGCAGCCTCAAACAACTCTTGAAGGCATCAAAAGGTCACATCAAGTGATTGTCCTACACTATCCGGGCCTGCAAGAGTACTGTTGATGAGACTTATGCCACGAGGCCACCACCCATGCATGTATCAGAGTGCACCACCATCACTTAGTCATACTGATGGCATTTCAAAATAGCATGTACTAAAGAAATTCAGGGGGCAGCAATTAAGTGTTTCCCAAATGTTCCCAGAAAAAGTGAGTCTCCTAATTGATGTTAATTAGTTAACTCTGGGAAAACAAAGCCAGACAAACTATCTTGCTGTTGGGGGTTCCATCCTGGAGAGAGCTGCTATGTCTCTTACTGGAGAGACCACGATAATATCCCGTACTTTTATGTCTGGTCATTTAACCTTGATTAGCAAGACCTCTCTGTGGATGGTGGGAACTGCTTTGTCAACCCCACCACTCTCTTATTTGTCGTGGAAGTACTTGCCTGAGTTATATACGAATGCACGTTTAAGGAAATGGGCAACGACGAAAGCTGTGACACACAGCTAACTTCAATTGTAAAATATTGGAGGGAGCCAAGCAGGCTCCCACTTGTCTGTTTGGCAGTGTGTGCTCCAACAGCAACATCAAGTAGCTTAGGCTGGGGAGCTTAAGAAGACGAGTTTAATGACCAAATTTACTCTGCATCAGGTTTCACAGACGGGACGGAACCTGCAGCTTCACTGCTTCGACTCCACCTCCAAAGCTGGTGAAGAACCAAGGGTGGGGTAAGCAATAGCTGAGAAAAGGTGTCTGGCCATCGGCACAGGTCTCGGTGATAAAGGGACCTCAGATGGTATTCTAGACACATTTACTTCATACCCAGAAAACATTATGTAAAGTCCTCAAGTCCTAGGCAGTTTGCAAGACAACAAAGAGGAGATACATGCTGTCCTCAAAGGCAGTAGAGTTCCCCCACAGGCTTCACAGGTGGGACGGAAATAGGCGAACCTAGATATTTCCGCATAGATGGCAAGAATAAAGATTCAGTGGTCTTTATTCACAAAAGCCACACACAGTGGCTCCTTCAGTCCACAGAAAGGAGTCCCACTTAAGAGTTATGATAAAGCAACCAGAATTTGGGTTTACAAACTGTCATGGCAAACTGGCCTCTAAAAATACTTATTTTCATTGGCCAATGAAACAGAACATATTTATGGAGTATAACCAATGTTTTGAAACATGTACATATTATTAAGCAAGATACTCTAGCATATGTACGACTTCAAATACTTTCCTGTTGTTTTTCTGGCAAGAATACTTTAACATCTACTGTCAGCTGTTTTCAAGAACTCGGTGCCTTGTTTTCAACTGTGACTATTGTGTTATTGAACTTAACCACCCTGTCAAATTGCATTTTTAAATCTTCTGACCAACTTTTCCCAATGATCCATTCTATAGTCCCTGATTAATGCAACTCTACTTTTGGCTTCTAGAGGTTCTTTTTTGCAGGGGAGGGGTTAAGACTCTACATATCATTTTTTTAAGATTCTGTATATACATAATTAATATAAACTTGCTTTTAAGAAGAGGACTGGCAAGCTTTCAATGACAGATACTTTATATTAATGAAAGGGGTGTGCACTAACAAGAACACACTGCTGTTGTAAGTCTATTAATAGGTCTTTGGCATGCATCCATCTACCCAGCATGCTCTCTGTTCCTATTCTACAGATTGTGTAGCCAGTCATCAAAGATGCCACACCACCGCCCTTCATTGTCACAAGTAGATACAAGCAGGTTGCTGTAGGGCCCTGAGAGACAAAACAGACTGAATTAGGTTTGGGACAGTCCATCATGAGCTATGATGACACGAGAGGATGGAGAAGACCAAGTTTTAACTTGTTACCGGTGGGCCCGGGTGGCATAAGCCCTCACGCAGACCTAATTCAATACTGGATCTGCTAGGCTTCATGTGACTGGAAGAATGGATACGCACTGGGCCGTGCTGTCCAACCTCCTCCCTGTGGCCACCACCATGACTAGTGTGACTAAGTGGCTGCATTTTAAATCTTTATCCTTCAAATTCAAATTGCCCTCCCCACCCCCGGTTCAGCTATTGGAAAATGTTCCAGTGTGATTGGAGTTCCAGTTGAGTGCATTGGTCCCCTTCTCAATCTGTAAACTTTATGCACATGTCCAATGGAAGCTTAGCATGCAAACGGAGATGCGCTTTGGTGTGCTAAACAATGAGTTCGAAGATTCAGTGTTTGAAAAGGAAGATGTGACGCCTCATTAGCACTGCTTGGAATTCCTCACACGGCAGCCTGATATTTCACTCCATGTGTCACCAGGGTTCCTGCTCTTCTATTCCGGGTAAGTCAACTTCTCTGAGAGCAACTTTCTTGGGTTTCTCCTACATGTCATGGTGGCTATCACAGGACTTGTTATAGGGGAAATACAAAAGCATTGTAAACAGTAAGGAATCACAACGCAAGGTGACAGAAATGAGTCCTTCCATAGATATTCATTGATGAAATCCGCTTTCAGCCTCTTCCCCTCCACAGAAGAGCGATACCAGGAAGCTATGATTGCATCTGGGTGGGACATCTTCCCCGAGCAGTGATTTTGGGAGAAAGACACTATCTTGTAGATGATACGTGACTGCACAGATCACTGATCCCCTTACCTATAACTGCCCTCAAGCCTCATTGTTTCTTTATAAACACATGTCCTTACTTCCTAACTTACAACAACTGTAAATACTGACGATACTGTAAATACCGACTTACCCAACTGTTGCCCACCACAGTGAAAACTCTTAAGGAATTTGCTTTCTGCCTATAATTCAGTCTGGCTGTTATTTTGGAATCCTTTGAATTCAGCTCAACACCTACCGGGTCTGTAGAAAACACTCTTACATGTTTGCTGAATGAACTCCTGATCCTCCTCCAATGAACATTTGCATTTTAACACAGACCAAGCTCAAGGGTACAGGAATAAGGTTTGGACGGGGTCATTGGCTATGACCTAGAGAGACATCCCAGCAGGTGCCCTGATTCATTCTGCTGTTGTCCAGCAGACTGGTGTGGGAAGCTGCCCCAGTGATGAGTAACTCAGCCTCAACACCTTCTTACTCAGCCTCATGATTTCCAAAGTACAGGAAGGACCTGAGCCAGCAGCACTGTAGCCCCTTGAAACTTATGCAGATTCCTGGTTCCTCCCAGAGACCCAACCTTGGAAGACCAGGTCATGCCACAGTCTGTATTTAATCAGCCTGCTGGAGTGACCAGTGTGCAAGCTGGACAACCACCTTTAGCAGTGTCCCTTGCTGCCTTATTCTCTGTTAGGCATCAGGGTGGTAAAGAAACAAAG